AACCCACACTGCTCCGTATCTTGGGCTTCCCTGTCATTCCAATCACCAGTGCAGTTCCTTTGACCTTGAACTTTGCTTTTTGAGTTCACTTAAGGCAGTAGACATCGACTAAAAAAAAACAACCCAACAACAATTCACTGGTTTCTGCCAGCTTGCTGAACTGAAACGGCTCCGCGCACGGTCGAACGCCAGCAGAAGCAAGTGCGCATCATTGAGGACAAGAGGGCAACAGGAGCACCAAGTCCCATCAGTTTATGCCAATACATAGGCAGCCTCAGATACGGAGAAGTTTTGCTTTACCAGACTGGTATTTTTATTAAGATTTATTAAATTAAGATGAAACCACATTTTTTGCATCCAGCATCAGCCTCCAGAAGAAACGAACTGAAGGGAAGAAAACAATTTTGCAGTAAATCACTGAAGTTGCTTCTTTTATTTACTTTATGAGTAAGTTTGGTTCTCTCACTCCGTGCGTGTTTACGGTGGGATACTCGCTTGGACAAAACACTTTTCCAGTTTGTTTGGATATTGACTACTAGATCACAGTTGAAATCAGAAGAAACAAACACAGTATGTTCCACCAACTTTCTCAGTTGTTTTAAAATCAGTTAAGCCTGTAATCACAATGAAAAACAACAGGCAAATACACTCCTGATTGTTTTAAGTTACGAAATTGCATTAACTTCAGTCAGTCTTTGGTTCAGTGACATAAGCCTTACGTTGAAATGCAGTTTATATATCTCTGAACCATATTTAGCAGAACAGAGATAGCCACGATGTAAACCAGATCGTGGAAATTTGATTTTAAGATAGAATTGAAAATGTGTTTTTATTTCCAATTCACACACTATATATCCTCTATATCAAATAAAAAGTCACATAAGTATTTCTGCGTATATTTTCACTTCGCTCTCCAGCCTACCTACATTAAAAAAAAAAAATGTCTTTTTTCGTTCAGAACCAAAGCATTTTCTCCTACCTTTATCTCAGTCCATAACTCCAGGCACGTTTTTCTGAGGAGCTGACAACCTTACAAGGTCTATAAAAGAAGGAGTTACAGAAATTCAACATCTCATTACTTGAGATACTTGCTTCAAACAATTAAAAGATAGTATCTGACTCAACAATACGCATAATGTAAGTTTATGCGGCTGAGAGTAAGGAGGTCTCAAAAATGCAGAAGGTCCAAAGTATTAGAGATACTTTATAGCACTCTGATTTTCTTCCCCAACAAATCACAAAACATTGGGACAGAGAAGGGAAGACCCGTAAACAATCAGGACAACAAACTAGTATCAGATTTAAAGTTTTTCTCTTGGGACGCCCACAGGCATGCAGGGTGTTTATGTTATGCCCTAGAGATTATAAACACTCAATTACAGCGGCCTGAAAACAGTACTCAAAATGGAAAGTCCAAAGAAAAACACACAAACGCAACGCACGTGAAATTTAACTTTTATTATTGTATTGATAAAACCCAAAGATCCCTCACAGCAGCAACAGATGCAGAAGTTACCTGCAGAAATGATACCTCTCCTTAAGCCATTTGCATACCCAAGTATGCCAAGCGTGTAGG